GGCCCAGCCAAGGCTCAGGAACGGGCGGCAACGCAACAACCTCTGAACCCCAAGGCTACCAAGAGCGAGGGGTGACGTAACCAGCTCTGAACGCCAGGCGAAAAACCTTAAGGGGGGGTTCCAGGGGGGTTGGGTAGCGCGAACCTCCCTCCTCCCTCCTCCCTCCTCCCTCCTCCCTCCTCCCTCCTCCCTCCTCCCTCCTCCCTCCTCCCTCCTCCCTCCTCCTCCTCCTCCTCTTTTCTCCTCTCCTCCTCCTCTCCTCCTTCCCTCCTCCTCCTCCTCCTCCGCCTCCTCCGCCTCCTCCCCTCTCCTCCGCCCTCCTCCGCCTCCTCCGCTCCTCCTCCTCCCTCCTCCTCCTTCCACCTCCACCGCCTCCGCTACCAGCACCACCATCCTCCCCTCCTCCTCCTCCTCCACCCTCCTCCTCCTCCTCCTCCTCCCTCTCCTCATTTGTTTCTTAGTCCTTCTCCTCCTCCACCTCCTCCTCCCTCCTCCCCCCCTCCTCCTCCTCCTCCTCCCCCTCCTCCCCCTCCTCCTCCTCCTCCTCCTCCTCCTCCTCCTCCCCTCCTCCATCCTCCTCCTCCTCCTCCTCCTCACTTCCGCCTCCTCCTCCTCCTACCCTCCTCCTCCCCTCCTCCTCCTCCTCCTCCTCCTCCTACCTCCTCCTCCTGCCTCCTCCCTCCTCTTCCTCCTGCTTTTTCTCCTCCTCCTCCGCCCCTCCTCCTCTTCCTCCCCTTTTTCCTAATTTCCCTCCTCCTTCTCCTCCTCCTCCTCCCTCCTCCCTCCTCACTCCTCCCCCCCTCCTCCTCCCTCCCCTCACCTCCGTCCCTCCATCCCTCCTCCCCTCCCTCCCTCCCTCCCCCCCTCCCTCCCTCCCTCCTTCCCTCCCTCCCTCCCTCCCTCCCTCCCTCCCTCCATCCCCCTCCTCCCTCCTCCCTCCTCCCTCCTCCCCTCCCCATCCCTCGGTTTCTGTTTGCAGACACGCTACTGCTCAATCCGTTTCTGTGCCGGGCCAGTTAACGGAAAGAAGCGAGGTACTACCGACGACGTTGTGTGTGGGCGGCGAAAAACCTTAAGGGGGGGTTCCACGCCAGGGTGGGTGTGGGTATGCCCGAGCCTTCCTCCTCCCTCCTCCCTCCTCCCCATCCTCCCTCAACTCCCTCCTCCCTCCTCCCTCCTCCTCCTACCCTCCCTCCTCCCTCCTCCCTCCCCCCTCCCCCTTCCACAAATACTCCATATGAATACTACTCTCCCTCTTCCCCTGATGGCGTGCTGGGAATGGCCGACCCCCCCCCCGGGTAAGGGTTTTAAACAAGTCCCCTGGAACCAGGAGTTTTCAAGGATCGCAAATTGAATCTCTCGTTTTTTTTGATGATGATTTCAATCGGATTCTCTTGTGGAGGATTACAATCGGATTCCTTTTGTGGCGCATTACAATAAGATCCCATTTGAGAAGGATTACAATAGAATTCCTGTTTGTGGATGAGTACACTAGGATTCCTTTTGTGGAGGAGTACACTAGGATTCCTGTTGAGGAGGATTACAATAGGATTCCTTTTGAGGAGGATTACAGTAGGATTCCTGTTGTGGGGGATTACAATAGGAATCCTTTTGTGGCGGTACTTGGGAGCAACCCAGGGGGAGAAAGAAAGAAGAAAAAAAAAATGAAATTGCGAAAATTGCAGGTTTTCAATGATTTTCAATGGTTTTGCAAAGAAAAATTTCAAAACACAGCATGTCCAGCTCTCCGGAGCTGAAACCATATAAAAACAAAGCTTTCCAGCTCCCTGGAGCGAAAAACATACGGATTACAATGGGATTCCTTTTGTGGAGGATTACAATAGGATTCCTTTCGAGGAGGATTCCAATAAGATTCCTTTTGAGGAGGATTACAATAGGATTCCTTTTGTGGAGGATTACACTAGGATTCCTTTTGTGGCGGTACATGGGAGCAACCCAGGAAGATAAAAAATAAAAACAAAAAAAAAAAAACAATGAAATTGCGAAAATTAAAGGTTTTCACTGATTTTCAATGGTTTTGCCAGTAGGTTTTGCCATATATATATATGGGTGTATTATAAGCAGCCACAACTATAAATATATAAATATATATTATATATATATATATATATATCATATAAAAACAAAACTCCCCAGCTCCCTGGAGCGAGAAACAAATTAAAACACAACGTTTCTCGCTCCAGGGAGCTCGAAATGCTGTGTTTTTTATATGGTTTCAGCTCCGGAGAGCTGGAAATCTTTGCAAAACCATTGAAAATCATTGAAAACCTGCAATTTTCGCAATTTCATTGTTTTTTCTTTCTTTCTCCTCCTGGGTTGCTCCCAAGTACCAACACAAAAGGAATCCTATTGTAATCCTCCACAAAAGGAATCCTATTGCAATTCTCCTCAAAGGGAACCCTATCTTAATCCTCCACAAACAAAAATCCGATTGTAATCCTCCACGAAGGAATCCTATTGTAATCTAACTGAAAAGGAAAAGAGGAGGAAAAGGAGGAGGAGGGGGAGGAGGACGAGGAATTGGAGAAGAGGACCTCCTTCTCCTCCCTCCTCCCTCCTCCCTGTCCTCCTCCCCCTCCCCCTCCCCCTCCTCCTTCCTCTTCCTCCGTGCCAGCGGCCTCGGAAGCCCTCGGAGGCTTTCGGAGGGCTTCCGGAGGGGTTCCGGAGGGGTTCCGGAGGGCCTCGAGGGCTGGCGAGGCCTTCGGAGGCCCTCCGGGAGGAGGAGGAGGAGGAAGAGGAAGAGGAGGCGGAGGCGGAGGGGATAAGGGGGTGGGGGCATACGCGAATCGTATCATGATCTGACAGCAGCCTTCCACGCTGCAGCTGCATCGGCCTCGCTTGCGAGCCCCTGTCGGCATTCGGAGCTCGATGCCGCCTGGAGTCGGAGAACGACGATAAGACGATGCGAAGCAGTGATGATGAGGAGGAGTAGCAGTAGTAAGAGGACTTAGATAAGATCAGCGCGAGGAGGAGGAAATAGCTAGATAGGACGAGTAAGGGGGATGAGGAGCGACGAAAAGATGAAGATGATGTAAATGCATATCTAGAGCTAGATAGGACGAGTCAGGAGGGTGCGGAGCGACGAGAAGAGAGAGGTGGAGGATGAGGAAATAAGACGAGTGAGGAGTAGCATCCATTTTCGATGTATCTTCTCCTGTTTTTTGGTCTAGTTGATTACTTATCTCCGGCGTGTGCTTCTCAAGTTTGCTTCACTTGGACCTCCTATCGTTCTCTCTTATCTTCATCTTTCCTCCGTATGTTGTTCAAACGTAGCTTATTCGGCTTTGGATATTTGTTGGGGGTACTTCTCTCACCAGCGCGGGCGCCGCAGCACGCCATGCCAGAGTAATCAAAAACGGCAATCAAGACGAAGACGGACAGGTGCCGCGATCGTAAGCGCACCAAGTATTTGATGAACTGGGTCGCCAAGCCGTGGGCACAACAATTCCTCAAGGAGGCTGCGCAGAG